TATTATTTTATAATTTAAACTATATTAAATTTATAATATTAAAGATATTTGTTTCATATATTAAAAAATAATTATTAATAATTGATTTTAATTAAATTATTTAAATATTTTTTATCTTAATTGCATAACGAGATATAATCATTTCTCATTTTTTATTAATCTTTTATCTCACCATACTTACATGTCATGTGATTTAAATTCAAGATTTTTTATTTAATAAAATATATTTATTAAATTATTAATATTTTATAATCTAATACAATTTATATTATAAAACTTTAGATCACTCATATAATTAAACCAAAAAAAATTAACAAACAGTATTCGGCAACTTTGTCAATAAAAATCCAAGGACGGTGGAAGAGGACGAAAGAGGGTCACATCAACGGGCGTACAAAATCTCTGATGTTGAATGCTTATTTAACGGGGAAGAATAGAATTTCTGAAGCAGTAGATGCATAAGATTTGCGAAACAGCAAAACTTGTTAGAATTATAGGCTACAATCACATGTCACACGTTAAGGCCCTGTATTTTTTGCCACAGCTGTTGAGTTTGAGAAGTTTATGGGGAAATGAGCTGTAAATTACAAGACAGATTCCATTTCGGTGTTTTGTTTGTACATCGAACCAACCAATATCTTGGAAAATATATCGTATTTTTTTTAAGTTGATTATTATAATTTTCTTAAGAAAATCTAATTTGAAAACTACTCACATATACTAATTTTACATGATATTTGACTATTGGGGGATGATATTGTGATTATTTTGATTTTCTTGCGTTTTTATTTTTACGAACATAAGCAATTGGAGGAAGGGGTCTATATTGTTTGAAAAATCCTTGTGGAGGTTGAACTATGATCCTGAGGGAAGCCTAAGCTCTAGTCTTAGGAATTATTAAGTGAAAAAATTTTACATAAAAAATATAATATAAAAATATGTTACTTAAATATAAATAATACTATTTCACCTACTACTTATTATAGTTTTTGGATGTATGCAAACATTCTGTCTTGACTCCATGTATATAATTTTTACATGGATGAACCATAATTAGGTCCTTAATTAAGGCTGCTTTTGGTTAAAAAAGAATAAAGATAACTAGAAAGATAAAATAGAAAGGTATAACCTAAACATGTCCTAAGAGAATGTGGTTATAGCTACATTTATATTTGTTATAACCACATAGTTTTTCTTATATTTTATCGATTTATGATTTTTTTGTCTCTTAAATAGTTGATTATGAAATCTTGAAATATTTGTTTATAAATTGATTTCAATTTATTAAATAATAAATATCAATTAATTTATCAGTTTTTAACTTTGTAATTATCAAAATAAGATTAAAATTAGATAGTTTATGTGGCTATAATCACATCGGCCTTTACTTTTTGTCATAGGATGCAAATGCATAACTTTGAAAAAAGAAACTACAAATCATATTTGGTAAGTGATGAGGCATGAAGTGTGAACATATAATAGTATTTGAATTTTGAACTCGTGTCATTCCTGTTTTTTTGCAAGGAAAATCAGTACTCCTTTCATTACGTTAAATTTAACCTTTCCTTGTGCTACCACAAGAAGTTAGTCACGTTTGGATTAAATACTCAACTGCAATTCTTGATGGTTAATAATAAATATTTAATGTTGATAATTATTTTTATTTATAAAATCTAAATAATATTATTCGTACTATTAATTAAAACAAATCGTTTATAATTGTTTATTAGCATCTCAAACAAATTAATGAAGACTTAACTTTTTCTCTATCCTGTTCTAGAAGATATGAAGTAAATAACCTTCTTGAAGATGTCTGTATAATTGAAGCCCGTGTGTGCCTCACTAAAAATGCCCAATCACACGTGCTGCGCCCAATCAGTACGTAGCACTCCAAAATGTCCGTGATTGTGGTGAGGTCCAACAATATTCAATGTGGAACATCCAATTATTATTCATCAAACAGAATCTAACATGGCATATATACGTATGCATGTATGGTGCATTGCATGGTGGGTACTTGACCCAAGACCCATAACCAAAATTCGGACAAAAAAAAGTGGGGTTTGTTTGGTAAGATTTTTATAATGGTATGTGGGAAATTGGAGCAACAGTTCCCAAAGGAAAAGGAGGATTGTGATGTTTGTGCACTCAAAAATAGAAAAATAAAATTCTTTGTGTGGGTTTTGCTTCTTTTTTTTTTTTCTTCTCCCAAGCATTCTCTACCACTAATTCATCAATACTAGTAGTAAAAGATTAGTCATGGACGACGGCATTCACTCACTTCTCTCACCATATCCGTATCTTGTAAAGGAGAGAAAAAAAAAAAAAAATTAAAGAGTTTGCATTTTCAAGTTTAGGGATTGGAGGGATCTTTTCTCATTCCTCTCCCTTCCCTTGCTTTAAACAAGAAAAAGTTTGAGTGAAAGCCAAAGAGGCCACCGAAAAGCACGAACACCTTATCATGAAAGCAAGAAAAAATAACCCCCATCCGATTAGACCCGCCAACCCACACGCATATACACACACTACCCATATGATTATCTCTCTTTCCCACTCAAAAAGTTGACTTGGTTGGTAATTGAATTTGTTTTTTTATATTATTTGTTAATAATAATTATATATTATTAAAAAAACATATTAATTTAAATGTTTAATCTTCTGATTGTGGATGTTTATTTCACATTATTTTTGTGTGCGTGAATTAGATGGTATATATGAGATTTCACATAGTTTTAAACTTTTGAAGTTATGATGTGTCTTGTTCATATATTAGTTCATTACTGTTTTTAAAAAATAGCCTCTTTAAGGGATCTATTTTTGGATTATAAGATGTTTATTCAACATCATCCCACTGTACATGAGTTAAGTGATATATATGAAATTTTACACAATCAAACTTTTTTAATTGTAGTGTATCTTATCCTTATACTAATTCATTACTGTTAAAAAAAAGTTTAATCAATTGATAAGAAGCAATAATTAAAAATTATTATCATGTAATATTGTTAAGAAAAATTATGGATACACAATGTCAATGAGTAATTTTCATATCTAAAAATAATTTAAAAACACTAATTATCATAAGGGGAAAAAAAGAGAATGAAAAATTAAATCAGTCTTGTTTGTGTATAGGTGTTCCCTATCCTCCCTCCCCTAATTCAACACCTCTCTTTCCCATCTAACTGTTTAGCTTTTGCTTTTTAAATTTTGGAAATCACAAGTCAACCTCATCTCATCATTTGGTCTTGGTTCTTCAGAGCACCACCTCATTTCCCACTTTACTTTTGCTTTAGTCTCGCTCCTCTTCTTATATAATTACTACTATGTTTGTCATTCCATCCTCCACCCATGGGAATAACCATGAAGGTGCACCAGCTACCACTACCACGTGCATTCTGGGAGCAGCACGAACCCTCCCTCACCCTTGACGGCGGCTGCAAGCACTTACGCCCTCTCGCCCCCAAGCTGGCTTCGCCCGACACAGTCTCCTCCTTCGATATTAAGAGCTTCATTCGACCTGAAAGCCGCCCTAGAAAACTTGGCTCCCCCGACGGCAAGAAAGATTCACCTCAGGCTCAGGTGATGCTCTATGTCAGCATTATTTTATGTATAAAAATTGTAATTTGTGTGCACATAGCCATATCCAAAATAAATAATTGGTTATTTTGCTTATAACTTTTGTAGGTGGAAACGCATCCAGGAGGTACGCGGTGGAATCCAACGCAAGAGCAGATAGGGATTCTAGAGATGTTGTATAGAGATGGAATGCGAACACCTAACGCACAACAGATAGAACAAATCACTTCACAGCTAGGAAAGTACGGGAAGATCGAAGGAAAGAACGTCTTCTACTGGTTCCAAAACCACAAAGCACGCGAGAGACAAAAGCAGAAGAGAAACAGCCTTGGTCTTACCCACTCTCCAAGAAACTCTACACCAGTTACAACCATATCCATATCCCTTGACACTAGGGTATGTTTCTTGTGAACTCATAATTAGAAAAATTAGGTCTTATACTCTATATACAAGTTTAACACAAAAGCAATTAGTAATAGATGGAATAGCACATGTTATATTTGTCTATAAGTTTTCGATCTCTTAATTAATCATTGTGAGATTTTAGAGCCCGAGTTCATGGACATCATGTTTCTTGTTCAGCCTTTGACTGACAACAACTTCTTGAATTTCAACAGGGAGAAGTAATGGAAAGAAATGAGGAAAACAGTCCATACAAAAGGAAGTGCAGGAGCTGGTCCTTCGAGTCCTTGGAAGAAGAAAGCTGCAGATCGTCGTCTCCTAAAGAAGATGAGCACAGAACACTGGAGCTGTTCCCATTGCACCCAGAAGGCAGATGAAGGGGGTTCATAAAAAAAAAAAAAAAAGTAAACCAATTTAAAACAATTTGGTTCACATACTTCTGATCTGCTTTGCTGGATGTTGTCCGTTTCTTTCTTTTGCTTCGGGAAAGAAGAAAGACAAAAGTTGTCTCTCTGTACTCTACTGCTTATTATTCCTGACTTGAAACCAAAGCGGTTTGGCGATGCCATTCTTCTTTATGGTTTGTGTGTGAACCTTTTGACGACATGAAACTGGTTGGGGCAAAGCTTTTAGGTTAAAAGTGGTCACTCTAGGACACTGAAGTCCACGCACCTACTTCTTCTCCTTAAGCCTACTCAATCCTTGAATTTTTAAGTTTCAAAATTGAGAAAGAAAAAAAAGCATGTTGTTCACACTTCTATAAAGTAGTTAGCACAATCTACAGGATATAGGAGACAACATGCAATTAATTTATGACATACATATGGAGGTACTTTAGATGGAGTCAATTGAGGTGCATATATTTAGTTATATATTTTTGAAAGAGGAAAAATGGTTGCTAGTGTTTCATGGGTCCGTCCTTAGTTTTTATTCCCGCTGCTCTCCAGTGTTTTTTTTTTTTTTTTTTTTTTTTTTTGGGAGGGAAAACTTTGCTAGTTCAATCATATGGATGGGAGAAATTCAAATAGAGATGGCGGTCTTCTTGTTTTCAGCAGTTGGGTCTATTTTCACCTGGGATGTCGTAGTCTGCACGATACATATTAAATTTGCCTCTTTAGTGCCAATAAAGTTGGACAATACATGAGCTAGCATAGAAGAAAATGTTGGACAATACATATATATATATATATGCTAATATGAGAAGATTTAATTTCTATCACTAACGATCAATCATAATCTACATGTCACATAATTCAATTGCACAAATTTTATTAAAAAAATAATAGTAAAAGTGTTGTTGTAGGGCTCTCAATCAGAAATTGGTGTCCTTCGTTGATAAATGGTGATAACTGTTTGTCCTTATTAGGCTGCACCCTTTTGCGCCTTAATTGTAGTTTCTTTATTTATTTACAATAATTAAATTAATATTATATCCTCTTAGATATTTTGGTAATTGGAGCTGTCGTTATGGTCAAACTTTTAAGACTATATGAACGAATTATAATATTTGTATTTAGTTTAATCAATATTTTATTAATTTATAAATTTTTTAAACAGTTAATTATAATATATGTAAATATTAATTCATAAATTAATTTTTATTTATTAAATATAAATATTCATTTTTAAAAAAAATTAAATAAAATTAAATCAATATTTTCAAAACAATATGAATAAATTTATCTTAGTTTAACAAAAATTTTGTGATGCAAAAACTACGCTCAGGAATTGGGGTGGTTTCTTTGGTTAAATATTTCGAACGTCGTCGTACTCATTTTTTTAATACATCAGAACAAAATACACGGAACTAGAAAGAAACTAAAAACGGAGAAAACATGCCCCAGTTGATCCCCTGTAAGGATGGGCTTTAATCCACTGGGCGGAGAATCGTAGATTCTCAAACCTGGTGGTGAAGAGTGTCCCAAGGAAGTTAGGAAGTCAGCAGCAGCATTCCCTTCCCTTAAAGTATGTTGCAATGAGCAAGCCTCAAACTCCAGCATCAAATCCTTAATATCCAATAAAATGGCTGCAGACAGGTCGTCTGGCTCTTGATTCTCAAGAATAAAACGAACAGCCATCAATGAAT